CCTAGAGTAGCCTTGGACTTTTCAATTTTCAATCGTAACATCTGCTTAATCGTACGGATCAAAATATGGAGACACAAAACATATGTAATGGTTGATTTGTTAAATCCTGGTAATGAGTTATTAACAAGGGAAAACAATAGGCCAGGATGGTGAGAGCCTTATGGTAACAGAGTCACTTTATGTAACGCCTGACGTTTCCCTTCTTGATAAATGGAACTAAGGTCTGAACGCCAGGTGATAGCAAGAAAATCAATGTCTTTAGGGGCCAGCCCTGAGACTTTTTTTCTATGTGAAAAATTAGGAGACATAAAATTTAATTGGCTGATCAGGGGGAAAGCAGTGGTCTTAAGTTTAATTGCCAGTAGGCTTAGCAAGGGAGACAAAACAAGATTTGGGCCTGTTTGTTTGCTTGCATCCCAGCTTCAAGTCCAAGTGTATCATTGAAAATGTGTTTTATTATAACACATGTCATGCTTTACAGTTCCCATATTGTGTAAAGACAATAGTTAATGGTACATTAAAGACAAGCAAACCATGCCAACACGTCTTGGAGACATTGTAAGGGCCTCTCTCTTTGCTTGTTTTAGGCAGCTGCAGTCCAGGACCCAGAAGCACAAAAAGAACAAGTTTGAAATACCAGGTGCATCCTAGAGAACCACGACAGGGATTGATATGTTATAGCCTAGGACATGAACCTAGCAATAAAGATATCATTTCGATTGTCTGCGGCTTCCACGCCATGTAAAGCAAGAGGCGCCTGAGCAGCCTGTTTTCTGGCAGCAAAGCGTTCCCTCCCTGGGTTTCCCTATCTCCCTCAGCCAAATTCGAACACCTGTTGGCCAGACCTCACATCCCGTCGTGGGAATCGTTGCCTACCAATGATTCCAGATCTCTGAAATGCAATTTGTTGTGGAATTATTTAGGACCATTCCCACAGGCTGCAGAATGCTTTGGAAAGAGAGAGATTTACCAGGGAGCACTCAACTGGTGTTTGTTCAACCTCGCAGCTGGTACTCGATGCCACCGAAAGATACATTAATGAAAATGGGATGAGTTCATGGATTTAAGAGGCTTCACACCCCATACAGTATAGGGCGTTAATCCTAATATTGGCAGATTAGAGGCCATGGGAATCACAGTGGGACAATTTCACAGTGCCAATGACAGCCTCTTTATGCGCACTGCTTTGCCTGAGGAGGCTTGCTCTCTTTCCCATACCTTTTCTGTATTTTAGGGCAAAGAGATTGATGCGTTCGGGGTTTTATGGGGTCTTTTTTACAATTAAATTGTCTTTTCAATGGGCTTTAAGGGGCATCACGAATGTTATTGGTCTCAAGAGGACGGTGTGGCCATGTACATTAATAAGCACAGATTCCCCCTTCTCGAAAGGCTGTGAGAAGTTACATGGTTCAAGGCCTCTTTTAAAAATACAAGCAGCCTTTGTGATATTTCTTTTCTTTTTGTTTTTAACATAAATCAGAGATCTCTGGGCTGGCCGTGTGTGTTTCTCACATTGGGAATGTGAGGGGGTATGGCCTATAATTAGTCACATCCTTAAGCAGCCTGCACTGAGAATGAGAAACCACCAAAGGGGAAAATGAGAGGCTAGGTCACTGCATTATTTTCATAGCTGCATATTAGCCATTACTTCCCTCCTATCACTGACGTGGAATACATCCACTTTAGAGCCGATGTGAACTGACTTTGGGAACAGGGAGATTTTAATTCAAACAAACACACGCTATAGCCTCTGGCACGGAATTCTCAGCAGTTTTGTTTGTAGGTAGCACACATATCAAAGCAGTTATTAAAATATGACCCAAGCTTTGATCATGTACCGGGTCTTTTGACTGACGAAATCAGTTTTAAAGAGGGGCATAATTCATTTTAGCGAAAGTAAATGCCTAGGGGAAAGGGGTTAGTTTATACATATTACAATTATCGTTTTCAGTGTCGTTGGGAGAAAATGGGCAGGCTGATTAAGACGAGGCCTGAATAGCTGTTAGTCATGCCTGCCCACACGCTGGTCCTTACAGTGCCAAGCAATATTCCTGACCAGCAAAAACCCTAAAGCTACTGCAAATCTCAGAGTTTGCTCCTGCGACAACAATGCCTGTATCGGTTTCAGCCGTGGAGCTCTGATCGCCTTTTGGTCAGGAAGACCTGGAATGATACTTTCCTTCTGCCTTTTGCTGCAGGACTGTTTTTGCAGAACTGCTGCATTAGAATGAATGGATTATGAGTAAGTAAAAAGAAGCTGTCAGTCTCTTTGAAGATTGCGTTTAAAGGGACTTGCCAAGTCAAGACAGGAGAGTGACAAGATAGAGACCCTGGTGTTTTACATGCGAAGCCCGGCTCTTCCGCTTGATCTGCATCATACTAAAGGATGTGTTGAAGCATTGAATCACAAAAAAGTGGCACGCCAGAGAAAAGGTGCCACATAACAATGATGGTAGTGTTTTAATTGTGGAGTACCACATTACCAAAGCCAATTGAAACGGAGGGGTCTATACAACAGAAGAAAACGGTACAACACTTCCATAACTTATAATTAAGCTGAAGTCCGACTAACATTTGACTTTCTAATGAGTGTAATGAGATTACATGCCTGATGGAAGCATTTGTGCAAAAGCGACTTTCTGTGTTTAATGAGGTCCTAATACAGGACAAAATCGAATTATAGTTTGACTCTTTTTCTCTCTCAAAGAGCACAGTTAAGTTCAATTACATTGGTGCAAACTTCTCTCTCCCGTTGCAGAATGGGGGGAGAGGGGAGGTTTGCACTCTGAGACCAACACAGATTTTTGAGCTTTTAAAAAAAAAAAGAAGAAGAATAAAAAAAAAACACGAAGCCCCAGCTCTGCAGTGTTTGTATGGGTAAGTTGCTCCTCTAATTGCTATTGGAAGAGGTCCATGCCATCCGCGCTAGCACAAGGGGAACTAAATGTGTCTAACTAGGTTAATGCAATTAGCAGGCATGCAACATATTGCTCCCAGTTTGTGAGCTCTAAAAAAAAGAGTCCAGTATATGAGGAGTAATAATTATACCTTGGCTCGCCAGTGCCGTTCCCATCCGCCTGGGCACCTCGTTTGGTCAGGTCTGCTCGGGACTCCGCTTGCAAGGCTGGGGTGGGCATCTGGGGCTCTCCCGGGAGCAGTGACGTCGGTGGCTGAGCCTGAGGAGCGGCGGGTACCACGGGAAAATCAGCACCTGCAGCGCTGGCCAGCAGCAGCACCAGGCCCGCAGCCCACGCTCCCCCCCCCCCCCCCCCCCCCCCCCCCCCCCCCCCCCCC